AGATGATTTATTGAACTAGACAGGATTTGGAAAAACATTTTTGTTACTGATTATTTAATTTTAAAATTTGGTCAAAGATTGGGTTTCTTGAAGGAATTTGGCTATTTAAAAGATGATTTTTATTTTTTAGATTTTCTTCGTATATGAAATATTCTTCAGTTGAATCCATTCGATTTCCTTTGTTTAAAACTTAATTGTGGTTGGTCGATAAAAGGTGTTCAGCAAAGTTTAATTTCATGGATGTTCTGTTGTTACTCTTAAGAGCTTGAATGTGCTCTTTGAATCTAGATTTAAAAGAGCGTCCTGTCTGACCAATGTAGAAGTGTTCACAATCAGTGCAGTTAATTTTGTAAATGCCAGATTTGTCATAGATGTCTTGATGTTCTTTATTTGTATTAATGTTATTTGTTATCATATTGAAAGCGTTATTTTTTGTTTTAAAGCCAATTTTGTATTCAGAATTTTGAAAAGTTTTTCTTGTAGTCCTGTTAAGAGTTGTATTGAATGGATACTAATGAATTTCTCTTTCTTCTTTCTTTCTTTGTTGTGTTCTTGATTTTGATTTTTCTTTCTTTTGATGTTTCTAATCATATTGTAGATAATGTTTTGCTTATATCCATTCCTTAATGCTAAGTATTTAATTTTGTTTAATTCTATCTCGTAATTTTTCTTTGTCATTAGAATGTTCAAAAGACGATTTAGCATGGATCTGAGAGCAGATAGTTTGTATTTCCAAGGATGGTTAGAATTTGATGGTATCATTAGGTCTGATTGAGTTGGTTTTCTGTAAATTTTGAAATCGTGTTTGTTTATGTTTTTTGAAATAGTTAGGTCGAGATAGTTTATTTCATTATCGTTAATTTCTTGGATAAATTTTATTTTCTTGGACAATGTGTTCAAATATTTAAAAAAATCTTTACTTTCCTCTTCATTTCCTTCAAAAAGGCAAATGACATCATCCACATATCTGTACCAATATTTGATTTTTGAGTGGTATGGATTTAAATCATTGTTAATTTTGTTTTCTTCCAAATTATGTATGTAAATATCAGCTATCAAACCAGATAAAGGGGACCCCATTGCCAAGCCTTCTCTTTGTTGGAAGAATTTTTGATCAAACGTAAAATAATTTTGGTTTAGACATGTTTCTGTCAGTTTTGTGATTTCTTTAATTTCTTGTTCAGAAAGGATGTTGCTATTTTCTAAATCATGTTTTAATATCTTCAAAGTTTCTTTTGGGGGAATGTTGGTATACATGTCCTTGATATCAAAAGATATAAATTTTGAATGTGTTGGTATTTCTTGATTTGTTATTTTGCTAACAAGTTCAATGTTGTTTTTATGCTGTAGTTTGTATCCCAATTAAGAATGTTTTTAATTTTATTATTTAGGTAACAGGGTTGCCACCAAAGTGAGATAAAAAAATTCATGCATAATTCAAGGTTTTCATTGGTAGTTTTGAAAAATTCATGGGGTATATGCTCGCACAATTTCACCATAAAAGAGTGTTGCCTAGTTCAGAATTTTACATTAATTTATCGACAATATATAGTTTAGTGTGCTACTATCAAATAAAACACATTTCATGCGTTTATTTTAGAGTTAAAAATAAGAATTTAATATAATTTATCCAGTCTAAAAAAAGTAAAATCACAGATGAAAAAGGATATTAATAAAAATCTTGTGTGTAATAATACGATGTAATTATTTAAAAAATTGAAACATCTGATTTAACAACATCATAGGCCTAATGATAAATTCAAACGTTAGAAGAAATAATAAATACTAAAAAAATAAGTCGGATTGGTAGTTAGGTCTAGGCCTAACCTAAAAAACATTGCATCTAAACATAAAAGGTTTAACCAGCAATGGCCTACAACTTTACTGTCTGAACATCAAATTAAGATAATAGGCTACTATAAAAACAAATGTTAAGAACATGATCAAGAAACGGTTATCTTAGTAATGGGCCATATCTAGGCCTACTAAAACGCACATGCAATTTATTACTTTATACAGTAACACAGTAGGCTAGCCTACAACATTGTAATCCAAAGCTGAATCTAGGCTAAGTTAGGCCTGAACCAACTTTTATTTATTGAGAAGATTAAAGGTTACCGACTGACTGATAATAACACTCTAAAAAGGTAAGATTATGTAAATAAATATTTAGTTAAAGCTAAGAACGAAACAAAAGTTATGGAATGTATGTAAGTTTAGACATAGGCTAACTTACATTAAGTAATAAAAAAATAATTAATTACATTACAGAAAAGGTTAAAATAAACTTAGTTAGGAGGATGTTTCTCCAGATTGGATCAGTTTATATATTATTATTTGCCTACACAGGTTCAAATCACAGTTAAAACAATTATTTATTTAAATTTACATCTCATTAGTTAGATTCGTATTGACTGAAAACACCTAGTTATATGCTTCAACAAAACATTTACCAATCATTTTAGCCTCTGGATTGCTTATATATTAATTGATATTAATATATAAAAAAACATATATAAAATCCTATATATAAAATATATAAAATAATATATAAAATAATATATAAAATATATAAAATCCTAAAAAACAGGATTGCTAAGGTAAGGCCTTATAATATCAATTAAAACATTTACATTTACCTTCCTCAGAACGAAATCACCATTTTTCAGCACAACATTGACTTCTTGCAACTTAGGCCTAAATAAATAAACTTAATCTCACGTTGTAACACATTTACTAGGTGTAACACATTTAAACACTGACAGTAGTTTGAAATGACGACATATTTGACCAAAACAAACACAGCAGACGATTAAGTTCCAGCCGGCGCAAGCCATTTTGACCTTTATGGCAAGGCAAGGTACTTCTTATTTTAACGTTGTTAAGTATCGGAAGTATAATATATCAGTAATAAAAAATATTTAATCTGAACACTTGTTCCACTGAGTGTTGGGTAATCAATTATAAGAAGCACAAAACGGAATCACGAGTGCAACAAGTGATCTTACTGTCCAGTGTCCACCACTACTTCAAACGTTTGACTCGTTTCTAAGTTTCAGATCAGTTTAAAACTTTTAGGTTATGGTTACTCTGAATTTCCTTCCACACGAACACTAGAGTAGAGAGTAGAGAATGAGAGCGAGCATCAATTCCGATTGTCGATGTTTTCGAAACATCGATGTCTTTTCTATCGATGTTCGAAGTTATTTGTTTACATCGATGGTAGATTACCGAACCGATGATTTGGTTTGTTACATCGGTCTTTTAGGCCAACAAAAGTAATGAAATATTGATGTTTTCCGTAACTGAATTGTATTGGTTTTAGGTTAATTGGCTGTTTCAGTGCAGAGAACAGACGAGAAACTCGGAACAAACATCGATGTGATCGATGTTTTAGCTCCGAAAGCATCGATTTTATCGGTAGATCGGTACTCGGTAGAGATGGGCGTTATAACATAACAGGATGAATAACAGTGTTGCGGCCACGGCAACGTTATCGCGGCAACACGTTGCGGAGAACTCCCTGTTATTATAATAACGTATCTATCTACACAATGTTGCAGGAAAGCCGCGCGGACAACGAAAACGAAAACATGCATTGCCATTAGTGCCGTTGCCGCAACGTTACCAGAGCAACGATAACTTCTGAAACGAACTAGAATAACGCATCCTGTCTGGACAACGCGGCAACGCCCGACTCCCGACTAAAACTGAAAACTGAACTGATCAACCGACAATGATAGCTGAACGCCGCAACACCGACCGGCGGACAACGGTTTATAGCGGCAACGAGTTGGCAATCGTTATTGAAATAACAGGTTGCCGCAACACGTTATTGGGCAGCTGCGTTATCGTTAATCGTTATAACCGTTGCCGGAAAACAACGATAATTCCCATCTCTAGACTACTCGGCTGACGTCGGTTACGATCGGATTTGACCTTGAATAAACTACGCAATCGTTTCTGTTCGTGGCATGGCAACAAAACTTTTTATCTCGACACTCCCACTTTGACGTTTTATCTCGGTGTTCATTTCGAGAATGGTTTTAATACGGAGTATTTGATTCAGCACATTTAGGGGTTTTGGCTGAATTGTTAATAATGATTTTGAGAATTCATGGTCCAATGACGAAATTCACGCATAATTCACGCACTTTTTCATGGTCACCTAAATTCACGCATAATTCACGCTTTTCAAGGTTTTCATGGCTGGTGGCAACCCTGGGTAACTACAAAGTTTGTATGTGGGTGCTGATCTAAAATTTACAATAGGTCTTATTGGTATATCAATTTTGTGTCTTTTAGGGAGTCCTATCAACATTGGAGCTTTAGGATTTATTATTTTCAAATCAGATTTTTCTTGGTTTGAGAGATCGTCTTTTGATAATTTCAATGACATGCATTCAATTCATCCTATGCTATTAACATTTGTTTAAAAAACTTTTACCTTCTCCGTAGCAGCAAACCTAAGCACTCATTAAATCTACAGTAGACTCCCTCTTATCCGGACACCTTTTAATCGGACATCTTTTTAACCGGACTACACTCGGCGGAAATGACATCTCTTTAACCGGAAAATTTTTATCAGCATATTGGTTTAACCGGACTAGATCGGCAGGAAGTGGGTGGTACTGAAACGACTGTTCTTGTGGGAAAGATTTGAGACCATTGATCACAAGTCTAAATACAATGCTCTCCTAAATTTAAGTCGAATATCACAGTAAACGGTCCGTCCGTTTTATCAAGTTTTTGGGGACGTTGGTTTAACCGGAAAAATCTATATCCGGACTGGCCTCAGTCCCAAGGAGTCCGGATAAGAGGGAGTCTACTGTAATGATATTTAAATTGGAAATAAATAAAAGTCTTATTTATGGAAATATTTTAGTTGACAGACAAGTTGGAATTCACTTAGTCTGCTGGTTTGCTGTGGCGGGGGTATTTTATACATGGCTTACTTTAAAAATCTAACAAGAAAAAAATTAAATTACAAATTTACTCACCTCTGTGTAGGAAATGGTGAACTTCGGTTAAAATGTCTTGCAAAGCCAAACCTTTTAATACTTTAAGGTCTTGGATCTCTGAAAATATATGCGTAATCTATAAATAAATATATAATTTCAATCAATACTAATATGTAAAAGCAAAAGGATATTTTTTATTTGATTTCTCAGATAATGCTTTATGTAATGGTATTTGAAACACTGTGTGTAGTAAGTGTAAGTGTGTAAAAACACATAATTTACATAGCCTATATACAATTATTTCTCAAAAAGACTATATTTATCAATGTGTGATTCAAATCATATGTTTTGTTTGTTTATACATATTTTAAAAACAAACTTATAAATATTACAGTCCACTGCTACTTTCAATAAACATGTACTAGATATTTTCTATCTTTTATTTTACAATTCAAATCAATTTCACTTTACATTTTGGTCAAAACGAGCCGGATTTTAATCCAGTATGATTCATTACAGTTTTTATTATTTTCAGTAAAGTATTTTTTTCAATTTTTCAATCAACAACTTGACAAAAGTACATAGCTAGCAACTAGCATTTTCCAAGACAAAATGGATGCATTAATAAAGAAAAGAAGCACAATCAAGGCACAACTAACAAGATTTGAACATTTCTTGGAAAATTCCATTGATTCTCCCGGATTTTTGAATGAACTATGCGTCAGGCTTCCCAAGGCAGAGACACTTCTTGACAAATTTGACTTCATCCAACAGGACATCGAACTGGAGGATGACGAGGATGCCCAACAGGTAGAAAGGGAAACCTTTGAATCGGCATACTACAAAATAATAGGTAAGGCCAAATCATTCACTACAAACAATCAGAATACTTCAATTCAAATGAAAACTTCAGACAAGGTTTCAGGGCCTAAACTAAACCTACCGGTATTAAATCTGCCATCCTTTGATGGATCTTTTGACGATTGGTTTCCGTTTTCTGATATGTTTTCGGTGATGATCCATTACAATGAATCTCTAACAGACGTTGAAAAATTGCACTACCTTAAATCTTGTTTGAAAAAGAAGCTTTTGACGTAATTTCATCTTTGGAGTTAACTTCCACTAACTATGCAGTAGCTTGGAACCTCATTCAAGAGAGGTATAACAACAAAACATTAATAGTTCAAAAACATGTTCACTCTCTGTTCAATCTACCAAAGTTAGAAAAAGAATCTGTCCAATCTTTAAGAGAGCTGATCAACAGTTCCAACAAGCACATTCGTGCATTGAATGCACTTGGAGAACCCACTGACAAATGGGATACTCTACTTATTCATTTGATTTCTTCCAAATTTGATCCTGTCACATTCAGGAATTGGCAAGATAATCTTAAGCCTAATAGCTTTCCAACAATGCAAGACCTAAATGATTTCTTAAATCATAGGTTTCATATACTTGACTCTATTCATTATAATAACAGTAAGCCTTTAGTTGCTCCACTGCCTAAACATAATGATGTTAACTCTGTCAAACATAAACCTACTTCTGTTTCTGGGTTTCAAAACAAGTCATGGTCATCACGACAGCCATGCTTGTCATCTTCAGAACCTAAATGTGAACTGTGCCAGTCCTCACATTTTGTATTTCAATGTGAACAATTTCACAACCTAGCAATACCTGATAGAATAAACAAGGTAAGAAGCTTAAATTTGTGTAACAACTGTCTGAAATTTCACAAAACTAATCAGTGTAAAAGTAAGAGTGTTTGCAAATCTTGTGGAAGAAGACACAACACTTTACAAAGACAGTTGTGGTAAGAACAGTCAACCACACTCAGATAACAAACAGTTATCCACAGGGGATAATAAACAGGTTATTTCTGTAGGCGCATCAGCCAATGATCAATCCTCTAGCAGACCAACTCAGACTATCCTTTCTACAGCTATTGTTGATGTCATCAGTCCTAGAGGTAAGATTGTTTCATGTAAGGCATTACTTGATTGTGGATCACAATCAAACTTCATTTCAGAATCACTCTGTAAGCGATTACAAGTAAACAAAAGACAGGCTTCAGTATCAATAACAGGCATCAATTGTAATACAACTTCTGTCAACCATGTCGTAAATGTTACAGTCAATTCTAGAAATTCTGAATTCACTACACAAATGGACTTTCTAATTCTTCCCAAACTTACAGAAAAGTTACCAGGGAGTGTTTTATTCAATCATTCAACTCAGATTCCCCCTGATGTCGCTCTTGCAGATCCTTATTATTATAACCCATCAAAAATAGACATGATCCTAGGGGCTCAAGCGTTTTGGGACGTTCTTGGTGACAAAACAATACAGTTATCAGTCAATGGTCCATCTCTTAGGGAAACTAAATTAGGATGGTTAGTCACAGGGAATGTAGAAGTAAGAAAACACGTTTCTGACGACAATCATACATACTTTGTATCATCTCTAGACTTGTTAAACAGTAATATTCAACGTTTCTGGGAATTAGAAGATTATCAATCTCAATCCACTTTAACTGGGGAGGATCTTCTTTGTGAAGAACATTATGAATCTACAACCATGCGCGACACAAGCGGTAGATACGTCGTAAAGATTCCTTTAAAGGATACTGTTTCCGATCTAGGTGATAACAAACAAATCGCTTTCAAACGGTTTGCTACTCTTGAAAACAGACTTGCCAAAAACTTTAAGTTGTACAATGACTACAGGGATTTTATGAGTGAATATGAAAGGCTAGGTCACATGCAATGTATTGGGGAACTCAGTAAAAGTTGTGGTCCTGCATGTAGTATTTGAACATGTAGATCTTCTGCAATTAACCGTGTTAGCCTATGTTTGTGATCAAGAATAATTGGATGTTTATTATCAACACTTAAAGTTGAATGTTTCAGTCGACCACCTACTCTGATCAGCCCTTTCCGATCTAGGTGATAACAAACAAATCGCTTTCAAACGGTTTGCTACTCTTGAAAACAGACTTGCCAAAAACTTTAAGTTGTACAATGACTACAGGGATTTTATGAGTGAATATGAAAGGCTAGGTCACATGCAATGTATTGGGGAACTCAGTTCAGCTAGCATGCCTCATAAAAGTTTATCACAATCATATTTTATTCCACACCATGCTGTTATTAAGGAATCATCTACCACAACAAAATTACGTGTTGTTTTTGACGCTTCTGCTAAATCTTCAACTGGTCTTTCACTTAATGATGTTTCAATGAATGGCCCCAGAGTACAAGATGAACTATTTTCTATTATTTCCCGATTCAGAATGCATAAATACGTCTTCACAGCTGACATTGAGAAAATGTATCGTCAGATACAAATCGATCCCTCTCAACACAGCCTTCAATCCATTTTGTGGAGATCACACACTTCTGAACCAATTAAGGTCTTTCAACTAAAGACAGTCACTTATGGAACCAAAAGCGCTCCATATCTAGCAACCCGAACACTCCAACAACTTGCACTAGATGAAGTTTCAATTTTTCCAATCGCGTGCAAAACAGTGCACAATGATTTCTATGTCGATGATGTTCTAAGTGGAGCACATACAATCGAATCAGCACTACGTCTTCAAAGTGATCTCATTGAACTGCTATCCAAGGGTGGTTTTCATTTAAGAAAGTGGTCATCAAATCATGTTGATTTACTAAAGAACGTTCCTGAATCAGATATTGAAGCTCATCCTGAACACAATTTAGACATAAACAACTCACTAGTCAAAACACTGGGTTTAATGTGGGATACCGCTCATGATGTATTCAAATATTCACTATCACAAGATACTCAACCACAAAACATTACAAAACGCCAAGTTCTGTCGGAAATAGCCAAGATATTTGATCCTTTGGGATTAATTGGACCTGTCATTCTCTTAGCTAAACTTATAATGCAACAACTGTGGAAGGAAAACTTAGATTGGAATGACAAAATTCCCTCGCATTTGAATAATCGATGGCTTGAGTTTCATGCATCATTAACTAATTTGAACAAACTATCAATAAACAGATATGTATTGTCATCCAATGAACCTGCAACTGTAGAACTTCATGGATTTTGTGATGGATCCATGGCTGCTTATGGAGCTTGTGTTTATCTTAGGTGTCAAGATGTAAAAGGAGAAACAAATGTGACGTTAATTTCATCAAAGTCTCGTGTTGCTCCATTGAAGGTGACTTCAATTCCAAGATTGGAGCTTTGTGGCGCTTTGCTACTAAGTCAATTAGCCCAAGTTCTCATCAAAGCATTGAACATTGATACTAATAATGTTTATTATTATTCTGACTCTACTGTTGTTCTTTCTTGGATCAATTCCCCATCGTCTCATTACAGTACATTTGTTGCAAACAGAATCTCAACAATTCAATCCCTAACAAACATAAGCCATTGGAATCATGTTGTTGGCACTGAAAATCCTGCAGACCTAATATCTCGCGGCTCTTTGGTTCAACCCCTCTTATCGTCATCTCTCTGGTGGAATGGACCACAATGGTTATCTGGAGAACATCAATTTTGGAAGGAAGGCTCAAACTTTCGACTTGATACAAGTGTCAACTCACTTTTAGAATTGCGTAAGGCAAATACTGTAACAGCCGTCTCTTTAAAGGTTCATGGTCATGATATATTTAGCAAGTATTCATCATTGCAGAAACTTGTACGAGTTGTAGCATATTGTCTAAGGTTTTATAAAAATACAAAATCCAAGGATTGTCTCACAGGTTCACTTACATGTTCAGAAATAAATGATTCGAGACTTTCTCTTATAAAACTAGCTCAATCTCAATCATTCTCCCATGAACTGAAAACATTGAAGGAAAACAATTCTGTTGATAAATCAAGCAAACTCTTACAGCTAAATCCTTTTCTTGATGACCAAGGGCTGATCAGAGTAGGTGGTCGACTGAAACATTCAACTTTAAGTGTTGATAATAAACATCCAATTATTCTTGATCACAAACATAGGCTAACACGGTTAATTGCAGAAGATCTACATGTTCAAATACTACATGCAGGACCACAACTTTTATTGAGTTCCCTTCGAGAAACTTATTGGCCGTTAAATGGCAGAAGTTTAGTCAGAAGTGTGGTTCACA